TATCTGGGGCTCTTGCAATTGAACCCAGGAAGTCAGAAGTTGTTCATTGATTAGCATTCCTCCAGAGGGCCACATCGTGTCCTTTCCTGTTTCAGGAGAGCTGCTGAGGAGGGCAACTAAGAATTCTTTCCTTGGAGCAACTTTCTCATCTAGCCCAAATAGTTATTATCACCAAAACAAAATGAAGGAAAAACAACAGCAAATACTGGAATAAGATATGGGAAATGAACACATAACTATTAGTGGGTACAAATTAATACAGCCCCTGTAGAAAAGTGCATACAGGTTCTGCAAAAAAATTAAAACTAGGTTTATGATCTCGCTATTCCACTCCTGGGAACATACCTGAAGGAATCTAAGTCAGGGGACGCTAGGGAAATTTGCATATCTGTGTGAACTTCATCACTATTTACTACAGCCAAGATATGAAATTAGACCAAAGTGCCTGTTGCAGAAGGCTGGATACAGAAAATATGATAGATACATATAGTGGAGTATTATCTATCTCTAAAGATACATGGAATCAGGAAATGTGCAGGAAAACCCAGGGGGTTAAAGGACAACATGTTAAAAAATAAGCCACACATAGAAGGATGAGTGTCATTTTGTCTGTCAATATTGGAAAGGAGAAAAGAGAGGAAATGGCTTGAAAGTAGAAGAGTGACTATTCAGGGGAAGAGCAAGAGACAGCAGAAAAGAGCATGAATATGACATGGTGTATACATGTCTGGCAATGTCACAGTAGAACCCATTAGTTTGTACAGTTAATATATGTTAATAATCATAGTGATTTTTTAAAGGATGATTTTTTTCTCTCTCAATTATGAAGAAGTGGGGAGTGTGCTAAAGTAACAGCAAATTAACACCACCAACTGCTCTCAAGTCCTAGCTGCAGCCACAGGTTAGCAAAGCCACAATTAACGCTCTGTTCCAGCTTTCATGATTTATCATTGCTGCAGGCTGAGGGGAGTGAGAGAGAAAAAGCCACACCCACCTCTTCAAATTCATTAACACTTCCCACCTAATGCTCCAGCTGGCTGTGTCTGCCCACAGCTAATGAATGCAGTTGTCAAACAGAAGCTTGCAAAATCCTGACAGAGTAAATATGTCCTAACTCTCACCAGGACTTTCCCCTGGTGAGACCTTCTCCCTGGAAAACCCAATACACATAGGTTTATCTGGGGCCATCTTGCTTAAATATGTTAAAAGAATCATTTAAATATTAAATGTGTATTTAAATATGGAAGACAGGAAGGAGGAAGAGAGGTGTACTAGTTTGAATGTAGTTGATCTCCATAAGCTCATAGGCAGTGTCACACTATTAGAGGTGTGGCCCTGTTGAAGTAGGTGTGGCCTTGTTAGAGGAAGTGTGCTATTGTGGGGGCGGGCTTTGAGGGCTCATATATGCTCAAGCTATGCCTAATTCAGACCACTTCCTGTTGTCTGAGGGTTAAGATGTAGGACTCTCAGTTCCTTCTCTAGCACCATGTCTGCCTAAACACTGCTATGTTGTGCCATGATAATGATTGACTATATGTAAGCCACATCATTTGCATGCTTTTCCTTTATAAGAGTTGCCATGGTCATGGTGTCTCTTCACAGAAATAGAAACCCTAGGACAAGAGGTAAGAGATAAGAGAGGGAAGAAAGGCAGAGAAACAAAGGAAGGATATTAGTTAGAAGGCAGAGTCACTCCTAAATAAGACCCATGAGCTAGGTTCTGAGGATAGCAACAAAGGGATACTCCACAGTAGTAACCTGCCCCAGCCCATCTCACTACAGACAAAGTCCTGGGGAAGCAAAAGGAAACAAAAACAAGAAGTACTGGCTGTGGACTGGAAGCAAATCAGCAGAAAGATTTATGTGTATGTGTGTGTGTGTGTATGTGTGTGTGTGTGTGTGTGTGTGTGTGTGTGTGTGTGTGTGTGTGATTTTAACAGAGCAATAACATTCTGCAAGTAGTAGATATGTCCTTTAAAATGAATACTTCAACTGACATTGTGGATATATTTTAATTGTGCTCAACCCTCTAGTTTTGAAAGATTTATTTTAGTTTTAACTATGTGCAGGTGTGTATGTCTGTGCATGTGAGTGTAGGTGTGTGTAGAGGTCAGAAGAGGGTGTTGGATTCCCTGGATCTGGAGTTACAGGTGGTTGCAAGTCAACTGACACAGAGCTGTAATTGAACCCAGGTCCTCTACAGGAGCAATACTCTGAGCCATTTCTGCAGTCCTTGTCATTTAAAAAATAATAATTTAAACATTTTTACAAACATTTATGTATGGAGAGGGCAGCTTGTGGGAGCCACTTATCTCCTCCCATCATGTGAAGCCTTGTCACCAGCGCCTCGGCTTTCTTCTTCCAGAAGAAAAATGGCAAGGGATGGAAAAAGCTCAGGATAGCCCAGCCTTACACTGTTGCTGCAATGTTCCTGTAACAATTCGAATGACAGGAAATAAAGGCAGGAGAAAAATCCCCCATCCCTGACCCCCCCTTAATTGTCCCCTTTAAGTGTGTGTGATTTCTCAACTACTAAATAGTAGAACATTGAATTTTGTTACTTTCTTTTTCTTATATTGATGACAGATTTGGAATCAGAAAATACACTAATGTAATAATTCCCAGAAGGGCCACAATGGAACAGCACTTAATGCTCAATATGTAAAAAAGGCTAAGCAAGATTTAAAATACATGTTAGCTTGACTATATATAGGTTTTTAGCTCAAAAGTAAGACGAGTTATGTGCTTATTTTCTTCCTTTATACTGAAGAAATAAAATCAACACTATTCCCTTTTTTTAAAGACTGTGGTCTCCCAGACTGTCTTCCAAAGGCTGACAGTAGTGGCTAACAGCTCTCCATCTCTGACCCACTCTGAGAACCTTGCTGGCCCAAACAGGAAACCAACTCTGTTAAGATTACAGCCCTTCCCTAAGGGCAACCAAGAACCAAGGACCATTCCTTGCACAGAGACAAAGGGCTCACCCACTTCTTTGCAAAGAGACCACTCTGAAGAACCTAGTCCAGCTACATATCACACCTTGGGGTCCACCGAGGTCTCTGTTGCCTTACTACTTAAGTCTCCCCTCTGCCAAGCCCTGAGTTGTGGTGATATATTGTTTATGATTTAATAAAGCTTGCCCAAGGATCAGAATGCAAAGCAGCCATACCAGTTAGCCATAGACGCCAGACAACGGTGTTATATACCTTTAATACCAGGACTCAGGAGACAGAGGCAGATGGATATCTGTGAGTCCAAGACCACCCTGGGCTACAACATGAGAGTGAATCAATCTGAAAGAGTCACAGAGCTCACAACTTTAATCCCAATACTGGAGAGGTATATAAGGAAGAAGCAAAGGGTCTCATGGGAGATTCAGTTTCCAGTCACAGGGAAGACAGGATCTCCATTCCAGCCTTGTTTGAGGTAAGAGCTGCTGGCGAGCTGCTTTGCTTTTCTGATCTTCAGCTTGAACCCCAATATCTGTCTCTGAGATTTTATTATTCATGCTATACTGAGTCTTGTATTCTTTCACACATGTTGATCCCAAGAGCACCCCAAAATAAGCTGTAGTAAGACTAGATAATAAGAACCTGTCTGAAAACCCCAAATCAAGGCAACACATCTCTTTGTACCAAAGCCTGTTACACATTCCCATGAGCTGTGGTCACCATGTTACGCAGATGGAAATGAAACTTATACTTCAGCCTAACTGAGATGTTATAACTTTTAACCAACACCATTTAGACTAAAAGGGGAATTGTAGGGGAAGCTGTAGCCAGCCCCTAAGTAGGCGTGGCTACAGCTTCCCCTACACAACACCTCTTGGAAGACTATGAGAAACATATTGAAACTTCTCACTTAGGAATATGTTCATTTTTTCATTGATTTCTCATGGTACTTATATCACGTATATAAATTTGTATCTTATATTTTTTTTAGGCTTCCAAAATTGTGGTTATCATTGTATATGGAGCACTTTTTAGTTCTAAGTGCTTAAAGCTGAGAAGTAAAGGGTGTGATTTTTAGGTATCCATCTCTATCTAACCATCTTCAGAAGTTTTAATATTGTGCCTTCCCTCCTTTGACTTCATTGTGTTTTCTGTATGTACACTCATAACACTATCAAAAATATGCAGTTTTAACTCTTATTCCCCATTGTTTATAAAAGATATTCCTCTAGCACAATTTCTTTTTGCAACCCATGCAGCAATGCTTTCTTTTGGTGGTTCAATAAACAAATGGAGATGGAAGGCATTCCTGTCTTATTTCTGATTATAACTGAAGGTTTAGACTCCCACTTAAGCTACTGTTTGAGGGATGAATCCTCTTTCCTGCAGCAGGAAAGAAAAACGGGTTTGCCTGGCTTTTCTCTTCAACTCCTGTGAGTGATTGTGTGGACACATTTCCTTTCTTGGAGCCATTCTTCCTTTTCTGTGTCCGTGTTTCTTTGATATTCATAAATGCCCAGACAATGTTTACTTAAATATGTCAAGTATTAGTGACTTTGTAAAAGTGAATCAAAACCAAATTAATTTGAGAATCAATGGACCAAACATAGCTAAATGGTACTTTCCAGAACCTAAACACCATCAGTTTTCAAGAGTAGAGTACAAAGTGGCCAGTGGGTTTTATTGGACAATACTTTTCTCATGGACATTTGGAGACTACCTTTCACAGATCTAACTTTGGGGTCCCAATATGAAGATCAGATGCTGAGGTTTGCAAATGCTCCCAGCATGTGAAACCAATTAAATCACTGTAAAGTTAAGTCACAGCTATAGGATGCCAATAACATTTGAGAAAAACAAAACAGTTAAATGATTTTTTACACTAAACATATTTATATGATAGATTTCCAAATTATTGATGCTTGGCCAATTTGACCACTACTCCAACCAATCTTAAATACAGGGCTAGAAAGGGGTATAATTGTACCAGTGGCCACCTTTCTCTTCAATGTGCCCCCTGGTATCATGGTTAGGACAGGCAGCACTCACCAATGACATATTCCACTCTGAAGAGATCCCGCTCGGGGTTATATGGACGATTGAAGTCAATCTGGACGTAGAAAGTCTGACCTCTACGGACAATCAACTTGCTGTTGTCATATTTGTCCGTGTGGTGATCTACCTTGTTGCTGTCCCATCTCTCTTTGAATAGGTGAACAGCTGTCACTTTCAGGTAATCTGTCCATGCAGAAAGCAAAATAAGAAAAGCATTAAAGATGTTTGACCTAAACACATACTCAATAATCAAGGTTATTTTACTAGAAGAAAGTTGACTGAATGGAGCTCCAAGGGAAAGAAGGGGGCAGCAGATTTGAGAATCAGCCTCTTGTTTTGGAAGACAGATTTTTTTTTTAACCTCTCCCCACCTGAGAGCTCATTTCAGAGCACAGAATACTCACTTTGGGAGAGAAGGGTGCCTAGTTTGTAGATCTAGATACAGAGAAGCGAGGGTCAGAGTTCAAGCCTTCCATCGCATGCTGGGTTTTGTTAAGTCAGGCTCTTTCCATCATGACTCTGCCTCCCTGTGTGGCACTGCCACTTCAATTGCCCCATCGTTCATAAAGGAGGGATCAAATCTGACAAAGCCTCAAAGGCACAAAGCTTGCCATTAATCTAAACTTCTCCTCCCACCCCAGGAAGGGTCAGATGTCCTCCGACTGTAATTCTAAAAGTAGCCCTGCTTCCTCAAAGGCAGAGAGGGGGAAGGGGACAGTGCTCTAGAAAGAAAGGCAGCTTTTCTGTGTGACAACATGTGACCATGTCCACTGGCATAGGCAGAGTCAGACTCACACTTTCTCGGCTCCTAAATGAGCCATCTAGGTGTCAGACTCTTTTTTCCTTTTTCTTTCTTTCTTTCTTTCTTTCTTTCTTTTTTTTTTTTGATGCTAAAATTTCCATGGTTTTCTTGTCTTTTGGAGTCAGGAGTATACATTTCAACTATATGTTTTCTACTCCTGTAGTCTTGCATATATTGCATACATCCACTTATTTTACAGACTCATGTGTTAGGTTACAACATCACCCAGAGGCTTACACACATGATGGTGACACAAGATTCCACAAGCAAAAGGAACTTACAGAGAGCCTGACATATGCTAGTTCTGAAGAAGGGCAAGCTCTCCCACTTTCCCTGTCTTCATGCTCTCATACACATTATCACCACACCATATACATGAAGCTCTATGATATTGTTTAGGAGACTGAGGGGGGAATTGGTTTCTGTGCATAGGTTTGGAGTTCCATGTAAGGGATGGTGAGTCAGGTAGCCTGGCCTCTCTTTTCCAAGCTGCCTGACTACTTGATGCATGCCTTATTCTTACAGCTGGAGACATACTGCCTAGCTACTTGACACATGCTTTCCTCGAGTGGCTGGAGACATACTGCATTCAGATAGCACAACTGCTGAGCTTAAGTCCACATGGAAGCGTCTCCTGCAACATTCCCAAACCCCTTTGCTTTAGACGGAAATTCTAGATATGGTCCCCAGTCCCCATAGCCTCCATTTTTACCTTGTAGAGAAAAAACAAACAAACAAACAAGAAGTTGGGCATATCCCTCAAACTTGGTAGTCTCTGAAACACTCAAGATAAAAATCAAAGTTTGGGTAGAATTGAGTTTGAAATTTGAGTCTCAAAATCCTTGTATATGACTATTTTCCTTCCAGACTTGAGTTCTCTCCATTTTTAAATGAGGATATGATACCTGGAAAATATCTATGAGGATTAAGTTGTAGTGGGCAGGTCTGGTACTGTACCTGGCACAGAGTGGGATCATCAACCTATAGTGATTCATGAACTCTGATGGAGCTACTCCATGTGGTGGGGTGATTTGTGAGATTAGGCAGGCAAAGTCTAAGACACTGTTTTACTTTTCACTTCATCCTGAATAATTTTTCCTGGCGATTACTTTTTCCTCTAAACTGAAAGCCACAGATGTGTAATTTTGGAGACTTTTTCCATGCTGCCTTTTCTTCTAATTTCTCTTGGTTTATTAAAGCCACAATTCCAATGTTACAGCAACCTAAGAATGAGCTGGGCATATACAATTGTTGAATGTTATACCTTCAGTATGGGGGCAGAGGAGATGACTCAGTGGGTAAAGTATAGGCATGAAGACCTGAGTTCAGATTGCCAGTTCCTATCAAAAGCCAAGTGTCAGCAGCAAGCATTTGTGATCACAGGACTGGAGGGTTGGACACAGGCAGAGCCCCAAGGCTTTCTGGCTAGGTAGTCTAGTTCTAGGTTCTATGAGAGTCCCTGTCTCAAAAAATAAGGTGGTTAATGATTCAAGAGGATGCTGAATATTGACCTCTGATCTCCACATACACATATATACACATGCACCAGTGTGTATGCACATACAAGAGCACATATACATAAATACATATACAACCCTCTCTCTTTCTATCTCTCTGCCTCTGCCTCTCTCTCTCTCTCCTCTCTCTCTCCTCTCTCTCTCTCTCTCTCTCTCTCTCTCTCTCTCTCTCTCACACACACACACACACACACACAAATCCTTTTAAAATAGTATCTTTTAATCATCATCATCAACCCCAAATCTCCAAATGGATCCATCAGTTCTCCATTCATGAACAGGAGTGGAACCAATGCCCCGATATCACAACTTCACTGAATCTCAGAGACAAAGGCACCTTATGGACCATTGAGTAGATGGTCTAGGTATGGATGCGCCATCTCTATGCATAGATTCTGGTCTTTGACTGTATAGGACACTCACTACCTCAAGAAACACCCAGTCCATTCTTACACAACTCCCATGTTCTCAACATGGCCTAATGTCTGCTTCTCTGTGGATTTTCTGACCACACATCCTGGTTCTGACTTCCACATGGATCCAGAGCAAGTCTCCATTCATCTGGTACTGTGGAGTTTAAAGATCACTCTGAGACACCCTCTGAGTAAAACCACAACTTGTACCCCTTCTTTAAGTAGTCATTTCCAAAAATTTATGAATCCCTTTGTTTCATAATAGATTTAATTTTTATCAATTTCCTTCATGAGGAGTTTTCCCTTGACTAAAATACATTATTCTGGCTGTAGCTTTCTCAGTAATCTACAATGAGACTGTTAAATACATCTTGTAAAATGAAGTGTAGTTTGGTTTCTTCAGCTCAGGCATCATCAAGACACCTACATCTTACAAAGGAATTTACATTAAGCATATACAGAAGCAAAATCCTTAAAACACATTCTGATGTCATTTCTATCAATAGTGGATTGCAATTTAGCCCAGACACCCACAGATCTCTCACCTGTGTAGCTATTTGGCTATATTTATTTATGCAACTGTTTTTGTTTTATTTATGGCTCCATTTTTAAGGCCTTACATGAATTCCTATTACATTTCTACTGGTAGAATTGCTTCACTGTTCCACAATATCACAATCATTTTGGACGTTCTGCGTGCATTCAGTACATTTACTATTCACTACAGTCAGATTTCTATAGTGTGATATTTTGCGCTGTCACCCAAGAAATGACTACAAGTATTGATTAGGCAATCACCTCCTAACTGCCTTATAGACATACCTGAAGATCAATCTGATAAAGATAAATACTCCATTGAGTCTGGCTTTTCAGGTAATTCTAGGGTGTGTCAAATTGACAGTTAATGTTGACAAGGACCGCTGGGGAAGAGTGCATCAAGCAGAGAGAATGGCTCAGGCAGGAGAGTGAATGATCACATGAGAAGCTAGATGACAACAGCCTGGCTTTGGGGAAGGTGGAGTTGAGGAGCACAATGGATGCTCAAGGCCAGGAGTTCCTGTAAGCCTCATCAACCTTGGTCAGGGGTTTAGACTTTGCATTGAGGATCCAGTGAAAACCCCAAACAGTAAACTGACATAACAATTAAGTCCATACATGTAAGTTTAAACCACTTCTGGGGACAGAATGGAAGAGGGTTGGGATGGTGTCAGTCTTGAAGTCTGGAAGTCCAGTTAGGAAGCCCTTGCCTATGCTGGAGGGAGTATGGTGCTGATTAGTCTGTCTGTAGGGCATGGGTCTATAGGTCCTAATGCTCTCTATATTTATCTCCATAATCAGTACACTGCATCTTTTATGATCAGTTGCCCCCAAAGAAAGTTTGTTAGTTCTAATGCCTTGACTTTTCAGGGATTCTTATCTACACAGAAAGCCTTATCACCAGGCTTTCTACCTCATGTCCCAGCCTGAAGAACCTGCTTAACATCTAGTGAGTCTGAGTGAGGTCAGCTGAACATTATACAGTACAGTGTTAGTCCTGAGTGATATTAGTAGGTACTGGAGGATGGAGAGCTTGGTGATTTGGGAGACTCTGGCCTTTCCAAAGGCAGTCTGGTTTCTTTGCTGGAGCACTGGTGTTGTGCTTCACAAAACTCCTATCAGAGCAGTGGTCTCTGAAGTAGCCATGGCAAAATTTCTTTTCAGATAATAGTATTTTGTGTAATATGCATGGAGCTACTTCAATACTCTGTAATTGTGCAATCTCGGCAGCTACTGAAGGTTCTAAAGAGATGGCTCACCAATTAAGTTTGCAGAGGACACAAGTTCAGTTCATGCACCACAGTGGGCAGCTCGTGGCCACCTTCAATTCCACCTTTGAGGGCTTTGGTGCAGTCTCTGGGATTCTAGACTTCAAAAATCAGTGTCTGGAGGGCAGGTGAGGGTCCCAGTAAGAATATTCCTGGGATCCAGTCAAGAAGTAGAGCTTTCAAGAACATGTCCCAGAAGCAGCATGGTGCACATTCAGCTTTAAGGGATCTGATGCCTCTTGTGGCCTCCATAGAGGCTCACACACACACACACACACACACACACACACACACACACACAGAGAGAGAGAGAGAGAGAGAGAGAGAGAGATAGATAATTTAAAACAAAATCTTAAAAGAGGAATTACTGAATTTTTTTGAGCTACCCTTTTCTTACTTTTGACAGCACAGTGGGTTAAGAACATAGAATTTGGAGCCAGACTGTTGGGACCCTTTACATCTGTCACATATTACCTTTATGACCTTTGAAAAACTGAATAAACTTCCTTGACCTTAGTTTCCTCATCTGCAAAGTATATTTGGAATGGGAGGAAGTGGAAGGAGTGCTGTATCTGGAGTTCTGGTACATGCTAACCACTCAGAAGTCAATAGTGTGACAGTAGCTCCTAATGTCTGAGCAGTCCCT